GGACCCCTGGAACTGGCTCGATTTCAGCGTCATTGTCATGGCGTGAGTCAAGCGTGCGCACACACACACACACACACACACACACACACACACACACACACACACACACACACACACACACACACACACACACACTTACACTCCAATAATACACAAACTCTTGACTTCTCACTCTCACTCCAATGACAAGTGTTTTAGTGTGCTTCCTCAACCTCTGTTATGCGAAGATGGAGAACATCTGTTTTAGATTATCTTTAAATAGAAAAAAACCTACGTGAAATGAAAAAGCACTGTGTTGGTCAAAAACAAATACTACATCATGGTGTATAAAATCGTTTAATCCAAAGTTCAACTACAATTGGCAAGGCAGTCTAAATGTCTCTCATAAACATTAATATTAAAAAAATGCTGTTCTCACTCACTGATATTTGTTGAGTATTATTTTGCAGATTTTTATTTAGGTATCATCAATACAAATTGGTACCTAATACATCATCACCATATTTCACAACATCTTTTTCGCTCCATTCTGTAAATGATCAGATTACAAGGTATTCACCCATATTTATGATTTCATGGTTACATATAATGCATTATGTACAATAATAATGATGACCCCAAAAATACGATATTTTTTTTTTCATGCTTTACCTTCTTTTGAAATTGGCCTACTTGAGTTCAAAATATGCATGGATATATTTACACTAGGAGAACAAATTGAAATATTCAACAAGAAACAAAAATGGGCAAATAAGATCACTTAACTCATCGTTTTAATAGAAAATAAAAGGTTTTCTCTTAGTGACATGCATGCATTTTCCAAATTACATTTGAAAAAGAAAGATAAAGGCTCAACTTTAATTCACTGAGCACATTAATGACTGATTTTAGGAAACAAAACTAAATAAATCATGCATACAAATTGGTGCAAAATGCCTCTTGATTAAGTCAAAATGAATGGCTGACGTTTGTTATATTTTTAGTTCTTAACATACAGTACATTCAACACTTCTGAGGGGGGCAATTACGCAACATGAGCTGCTGGAAGGCTTTTAATGTGAAACATCTGTGCAGGAAACGAGCTGCAGAGCAGAAACGCAGTGTAATATATCAGAGGGCAGGACACTCACTGTGTTGTAGTGATGGGATTAGGGCTGAGGAATTAAATATAAAGACTAATAGATGGCGGTCTCTGCAGCGGGGGGTTGACGTCAGAGTGTTTGTTAAATTCGGACACTTCTGCAAAGTCAGGAGAAACCGCAGAAGTTTGTCTCATTGTGCTGTCAGTCCGAAAGAAAACTTCAGCCGTTGTATTTCACTTATAAACTTTATAAATCCGAGCTGGCAAAATAAGCCTCGCTGTGATCAAAGTACATATTTCCTTTCTATATTGTTGACATTTATCAACGTAATGCACGTCAGAAAGATGACTTTTCACTCGATTTTTCTGCAAATCTGGACATATACAGAACTCTTAATCTCATATTTGTCCAAAATATAACTTCTCTGGTTCCAAAGTGTCAGTGTATTGATCAAAGTTTGGTCACTTTCTGCTGAGTAATTGGAGTTAAACAGCGCCGTGACCTTGGTGGGATTTGAACCCGGGCTGTGTAGCTCCACCTGCTGACCTCTGCTCTCCTTGAATTAAATCTCTTTTTTTGGCAGGGTGTCCTGTGTGGGCGGAGGTTTGATGGGTGTAGTTTGACCCTCCATTAAAAACGCACCTCCCCGGGGGGTTGACGATGCAGTTTGAAGATTTCTTGGCCCCTGTTTAATTACAACACAATCATTTCGGCAGCAACGCTCACATTTCAGAGCATCCTTGAATGCACCACTACTCTTAACTCTAAAATCTTGGTGGTACAATCTGGAAGATCGAGTAGTCCTTTGAATAATGACTCTTTATATTTATATATAGTTAAAATGACTCTTAAAATTATATTTTTCTTGCTTTTACTTCTGAACAGTTGATTTTAATATTGCCTCCCATGAGTTTAATCATCTCAATATGTATACTTTTATAGACAAAATATCAGATTTTTTATTAAAGTATAAATGATAAAATGCATACTTTCCTTTTAATGCCATTATTTACCCTGAAACTGCCTCAAAGGATCACCTTTCCTAAAATGCCTTTCATGCAGTCACCTGACGAGGTCTGTGCATTTGTTATTTCTATTTTGATCCATAAAATCAAAGCTCAAGACTCAAAATTAAACCCACTTTACACAAAAAATGCCTGATTTGAATCCAGGCAGAGATCCAGATTCTGCAGCTCTGAGTGTTCCCTCTGCTTATGACCCGTCGTAATGTCTCATAAAAAAAAAAGAGCGTGACCTGTCCACTCCGGTAATTGAGTGACTGATGGGAAATCACTGCCGTTAGGTTTGGTTAGCGATCAGGTGGCGATCAATCAGAGCGTTACGGAGTGGGGGGGCGGTCAGCGAGGGACGCCCGCGGGAAGATAAACGATCTCAATGAACCGATGGATCAATATTTGACCCGAGGCTGGGCTGCGGGGTTAGTGATGAAGCAGAGTCACCTCCACTAAGGGCCGCCTGCAAATCTAGAGTCCTGATGAAGGTGGTGAGGATGCAGAACCACAAAACCTACCACCTACAAAATCAGAGGGGAAACATGAGCTTCGCTGGAATTGTCCAAAAAAATCAGGTCCTTTGTCCTTTTGTAACCACTTCCCTTCTGTTAAAAAACATTATGGGGTCAAGGAAGGGTGTGAAGGAGAATTCATCAGGACTTACGAAAAGAGAATACACTGACACTGGGAGACGTCATAGTGATGAGACGGGGGATGTTATTGAGTCTGTAGATCCGTTATTACGTGTTATATCATACCACGTGTTCCCCATCAAATAGTGTAAGCCTCAAATTCTTTGTTTAAGGCCATTGTAAATAAAGACATTTCAAAAGTGAAAAAAGTGGTGGATATTATTGTGAGGAATAACTTTTAAATGAAAGAGAAAAGCTCACAATTATTGTGAAAAGAAATGGAATATTCTCTGAGTTCTAAATCACTAATTTATCGGAAAATAAATTAAGTGTTTTCATCATTGTTATTTGATTTGAAACCTCTATAACTGTTAATATACCCATAGTTCCACCTCACCTGGAATCAACCAATGCAAAGGCATCTTCGAGTGACTGTGAGAAAGGCATTCTGGGAAATTGAGTCTTCGAGGCAGTTTTAGGTAAAGCAAAGGCACATTAAAGAGAAAAGTAAAGTGTTCTTTTAAATATACTTTAAATATTACACCTGCTCCTTCCTTCATCTCCCATCTACTCTTATATTGTTCAGTCAGTGACACACACACACACACACACACACACACACACACACACACACACACACACACACACACACACACACACACACACGCACAATGTCAGTAGTGTGTGTCCTTGAACCAAGGGCCGTCCTGCGGTCAGGTGGCTCTTAAGGAGGACAGGGACACATAAGTCACCTCTCTACACACACACACACACACACACACACACACACACACACACACACACACACACACACACACACACACACACACACACACACACACACACACACACACACACACATACACACCAAGGATGGAGAACATGGTAAATGAGTGTGAGGTTGTACAAACCAAAAGAATATCACTAAAGTGCATGTATGGACAAAAACACACACACAAACACACACACTCCGCCCCTGACACATCACCCCTCTGTGCCCGAGCTTTATTAAAACCAGAGTGATGGTCTGTGAAAAGAGACACACACACGTACACTAAATGTCTGATTGATGCTCTTCTCCCCTCCCACCGAGTCAGAATTCCCATGGAGACAGAGTAACACACACACACATACACACACACACATACACACACACACACACACACACACACACACACACACACACACACATACCACACACACACATAATCTGCCCCTGTGCACACACATACAATCTGCCCCTGTGTTCCTATGGTAATGACATGTTAATGGCTACCATCACACACCACACTCGTCAGCCATTTTCACAGCATTAGAGGAACAACATTTTAAATCTTCTTAATAAAATCATCAATAAATCGTATACAGTGTCAATTAAAAAATATAGGGAAAAGCTTATTTTAGGGGTGGCATAAGAATATTAAGTACATTTGCTGAAATACAAATAAAATGTACCAATTTTTTCTGATAGATTTCATAATTATTTTTCAGATAAGATTTTTTAATGAATTTAATTATAATTTTTAAGGTAATATTTTTGTAATTGTTACAAAGATGAATGAATGTGTTAGAGTAGAAATAATCTTTCGATTTTATTTAGTTTAGCGGACTAAAAGATGGAATTCCTTAATCTATGCGTTTAAACATTTATATTTTTTAGCTTTATATTGAAGATAGTTGCTTTAAGCCATTACAACACTTTTGGAAATAAATAAAATAGTTTCATATATCTTGAACAGATCAAATAAGTTGGATAAGGAAAGGTGGGGAAAGCTTATTTTCCATTATTCAGCGATAACATATTGAATAATTAATGTCAAAACACACATACTGACACACAATATGTTATTATTGAATATGTGATAGTTTGCACAGTGCACATGTGTAATGTTTGAGCTACTTGAAAAAATAAGTATGTGAGTATGATACACTAGATTGAGATTTAAAAGTAGCCTAGGCTAAAAGATGGAACAAACATTACATTCATGTAACACTGGGTACATGAATGTAACCATTGTTGGTTACTTTAAAAACTTTTCAGAATTTATGATTTTCTACACTGGATTAAGATTTACTACCTCAGCAGAAACTTCGACAAAAAGTCCCGGGAACTTTGGGTGAAAACCGGGATATGGTCCCTTTTTATAGTTAAATATTAGACGGTGAATACAACTCTCTACACATGCAAACATTCACAAGGATCACAGATATCATGACGTTGATGGGCAAACCTGATAAACCTGATTACACCCGATTTCATAATTTCTGATTGTGGTAAATGTAAGCTGTTGGTGCTCTTCCTCCTTAGGGTAGTACTTTTGAACTTCCCGCAGTATTTTCAGACTTTGCTCTGTGTTTCTTCTTATGTTGTGTGTGTACACCCCCCACACTGCAGGCTGTTAACAGAGTTTATCAAAGTAGGGAACCTGCAGGCGCTGCGAACCTTTAGAGTGCTGCGAGCGCTGAAAACTATCTCAGTCATCCCAGGTAAGCCTCACCTGCAGGGGGCGCCACGGACAGAAAACACTCTTCATCGTAACGTGAACGTCCTCTTCCTGTTCGTCCCATGTCTGCCCTGTCCCCGCCCACTTTCTACTCTCTGACCAACCAGGTGCCCAGGCTGTAGTCACCTGACATGAACTGAAGAAAAGTGAGGAAGGAAAAGTCAGACAATTAAAAGCTGAACATATGTTCCTGAAACTGGAGATTTGTTTTAGATTCAAAGACAAAAAAATCAACTATACTACTTGCCTTTTAGAGTCAAGCTTTACTTATCAAAACAGTGACACAAAGCTAGACTGTTTAGGCTCTGTACCGTGAAAGGCTAACCTAAAGTAGGTTAGCCTTTCACGGTAGAGAGCCTAAAATGTATGTTTCCTAAAAATAACGACTTTTTAAATGTAATTTCTCACTAAACTTTGAGTTCTATCGTACACATATTGTAAGTACAGTACTGTACCCAAAACATAATGGTAAATTGCAGCCCTAATTTACCCCTAAAGATAAATAAACAACAAGACACTTATCTAAAGAAATATGTTGCACAGATTGAAACCACAAATATTTGTTCTCTAGTTTGGCTCCATGTGACACTAGAGTTGACACTAAACTAAATACATAATTTCCAGAGATTTAAACTGAGTTTATCTCCAGTTTTCCTCCATATGAGCAACTTCCTGTCTGACTTCCTCTTCCTCCACGCTCTTCCCCTCTCTGTCTCTCTTCATCTCTCCGTTCCTCGTTGTTGCTCGGTGTGTCACCCTCTGTGTGTGTCTGTTTTTGTGCTTCTGTCTCCGGCGTGCTGCAGATATGTCACTGAGTTTGTGGACCTGGGTAATGTGTCAGCCTTACGGACGTTCAGGGTGCTGCGAGCGCTCAAAACCATCTCTGTCATCCCAGGTGAGGAAGCCAAGCGCAGGGGCGGGAACATCAAATGCACCCCGGCCCGGGCCTGCAGGAAGATTAAACTCTCATCCTGCATACTACCTGCTGAACAAACCTGCTTTTTAAAATGCATCTTTAATAAAGTACACAGAGGTAGTATGCAGAAAGAAATCTTTCTCATTATTAGTTGTGTGTGCACATCAGAGGCTCAGTAAACAGCGACAAAAACATATGTATTTACACAATACGCAATCAGGTCTCATCTTGAGTAATCTAATATTGTAAAATATTTTAAGCAAATATTGGTAATACACAAATATAAATGATAAATAGGATCTATTTTGTTACAATAAACATTTCTAAAATATACAGTTTTAATGAGTGACGCTTTATCTAAATATGAACCTCTTTGATTCAGGATCCTTTATTACCTCTTATGCAATATCAAAACTAGCTTTTCAAAAGATCTGACGCACTGAAATAACACTTGACTCACTTTAAAATGACTTTGTACAAAACACTGGATGTCCAATTTAGAATCATTAAGTTGTTCAAATATATGTTATTATGGTGGGAAGTTGTGAGGCATCGTCATAGAGAAATAACTTAATCTTGGCTTTCATTTCATGTACTTATACTTTTATGTCCCATTTGACTTCTCCTCCACTACAATAATCTGAATGTTTAATTTGACAGTTTATTGTAAAAAGATAAAGATTCTGCATGCAATTCTTAAAATGGTATTTCCTATTACAATCAAAAACAAAAGTGTGATCGTAGTGACTCCAGTTTTAAATGTGGATCCGCTTTTAAATGTTTATTAAGAGAGAGATTCAGTTCTTTATATTACGTTTTTGAACACATTTGTATCATAGATTTAACTTTAAACTTTAATATTTTTTTCTACCATTCCTGAAAAGACAGTTATTAAAATGTGGATATATCTCTTCACATCTGTCGCTTGCTGGCCTCTGTATGTCTCCACTGTGCATGTTAGCATGCAGCGCTATCTTTAACGTGATTAAAACATCTCCATGCCATGGTCATGTTATAACAACGTCTAAAACTTGTTATAACCATTTTAGCTACATGTGAAAAGCATCTCATAACTAAATATAATCACACTGCTCATTCATTAGCTTACAGACGCTAAGAAGTTCAATTATAATGCAAATTAAAGGTCTGTTTCTAATGAATTTACTTAACAGAAAAAAGCTCAAGTTATAAAAAGTTGAAAAGGAACTTTTATTTGTTACAATTGGCCGACGTCAACTTGTCTGCACCCTTTGTGTTCTCACTGTGTGTGTTCCTGCTGTTTTTACCACCTGTGTGTGTGTTGTTTATGAATGTTAACTGGGAGATCATTTTCCTTTATTCTGTTGATTACTTTATTCCCATGGTGGTGTTGACATTTATGAAAAACTTAAAGCTGCTGTTTGATGAAAACCTTTATATTTCTTTATATTACACATTAAAATGATAAAACTTTTGTTGAAGAGATTTTCTACCAACAGCAGAGTTATATTTTCTTTTTTATTCAATTGTTGATTTATTTCTCTGGTACATAAAGATGGCTGCCCTTTGGTTTGACTCCATAACCTTTCTTACTTTGCAGCTTGTAAAAAAAAACCTGAGAAAACATCCTTTTCAAACACAGTTATAAAATGTGTGTTTGTTGCAATAACTCAATTAACAATTACTGTTGCATATTGAGAAAAGGCTGTAATATTAGATTAGGATCAAAGTTGAGGCGGCAGCCATATTTCTGATCACCTAATTTGACAAGGAAGTTCACCCAAAAACAATTAAAATAATGTTCTCAAATGGCATTATTAGAACTGACCAAATGTAAACATATTCTGAACGAAAGAATCGCAGCATTGGCCAAGTGGGTTTTATCCATACATTTGTCTCATTGAACAATTTGAACTAAATTATTATCAAATAAAAAATATACATTTTCTAATTTCTATCTGCTTTCTATTGTGTGTGCAAAATGTCGTTTTTGTACACTAATTAATAGAAAAGTATTTATGCTATAAAAGGGTTTTTTATATTTATATATTGTTTTTGGGTAAACTATTATTTTTAAAGAAATCCGACTTGAAACCCAGATTCTTATATTTAAAACTAAACTTTAATTGAATTATAGATGTTTTTTTGTTAAGTGATCACATCCACACCACATTTCCCTGACCTTTGACCTCATGTGCGCCCTCTGGGTGGCGGCAGGCCTGAAGACGATCGTGGGCGCTCTGATCCAGTCGGTGAAGAAGCTGGCGGACGTGATGATCCTCACCGTGTTCTGCCTGAGCGTCTTCGCCCTCATCGGCCTGCAGCTGTTCATGGGGAACCTGCGGCAGAAATGTGTCCGCAACACGGAACACTGCCTCAACGACAGCATGTCCGCCAACGCCTCCTTCCTCTGCAACAACAAGACCTGGGCGTCGCTGCACGACTTCATCAGCGATGAGGGTGAGGACACAGCTCTGAATACTTACTGTAATGGGGTTCATGCATTGCTGTTTGCACTGATAAAGCAGCAGTAGAAGGGAAAGTAACCAGATGGTGACTTGTAGTAAGACGCATTTAAGAAAGTAAGTTGTAAAGATGATGCAGAGTCTGGCTTTGTTCACACTTGGTATCAGAATTGGAAATGAGATTTTGAAAATCATTTTCATTACCTTGGGTAAAACTTGGCAATGTGATTCATTTGCGTTAATTTGTCTTTAACATATTATGGTTTCAAGATTAGTCGCAAGCAGTAACGCAGAAACATTGACACTCTCTTTGAATGTAGGCCTTAACAGAATTTCTAAACTTAGAACAGTAGAAAGAGTCATTCTTGTATGCATCACCTGTGGTACTAACAATACAGCAGTAGACAGGGAAGCAGCCAGGAGGTGACACTCAATAAATTACAATTAAAACAATAAAAGCTGTTAATGTGAAGCTGAACCTGGCTTTGGTGAACTCAGGGATTTAAAGTTCAAGGTTGAGAATGCATTGCCTATATCTTGACTAAAAATGTTACCCTCACTGTAGCAGCAGAATTGGATGTGAGATTTTGAAAACTATTTCTTTCTGACTGACTACATTTGAAAGACTTGGTTTGTTATTGTTGCTCAAACGCACACTTAAGGTTTAACTACTGGTCTTAGAAAAGGCTATTTGAACTCAGTCGTGCTGGATATCTGTTGTTAGAGGGTTAAAGAAATCATTTCTGAGACTATTGTAGCAAATGACCGCAAAGAGACACAAGATGACTGCAAAGAGACACAAAGTTACTAATAATAGACACTGAGACTGAGGACTTATTCAGAATGTAGTATATGCCATCACATTTTATAATGCAGAAGTAGACAATAGTCGCTTTTTATAAGATACATTTAAGAAATGTAATTGGATGTGAAAAGCTGAGCCTGGCTTTTTATAATCCATAGCTAATTTCCAGGTGATGATGTGGAATAGATTTCATTTTCCATTTCTTACCGATTTGGGTGTTAGGTTTTGGAATTCATACGTTTTCTTAATGAATTTGTCATTGTTGCTTAAACACACACAACTGAAGGCCTTTTAGAAAAGTTATTTAAAGGCTGTTGTGATGAAAATCTGTAGTTAGAGTGGAACAATGTTCTCATGGATACATAAAAAGAGTTATAACACAACTATAAACAGACTCAAAATGATGACAAAGAGACAAAGAGACAAAGTGACTACAAGAGACACAAACTGTGTGCGTGAGAGAGTGTGAGGTCATATGAAGTCAGCTGGTGTATATACACTATTGGACATGTCAGGCATTTGGCCAGGGAACATAATATATGTTATGTGGACATGCTTATACACTCACAGTACATATAAGCACATACTGTACTATACACACACACAGAGGTCGAGGTCAGGGTTAGGGAAACACTTAACGCTGTCAGATGAAACCTGAGTGTGTTTTCTCCATGTGACCTCAACGCTCAACCACCTCTGCACACATGCATGCTTCCACTTCTTCATCGACACAGTTTATTTGTATTTCATTTTAATTTCTGTGAACATATCTGGTGTCAGTCCATGTCTTCTTCATTTGCCCTTTTTCTTTTCTGTAATATTTATTTTCTTTTTGTATCATTTTTAACTTAAAATCTTTTTCTCCTTTCACATCACATTATTCTCTGTTTTGTCTGATCCTCTAATGAGGACCACAGAGAGGAAATAAAATCACTACGAAGTAACACAATTACTAGAATCAAACAAATCCAGCTGCTTTTTTGCTCGTCTTGTCAGCTGCTGTATGTCCGCTAGTCTTGTGACAGATGTTTTTATAATGATAGCTTCTTCCATTCATCTGCGTAATTAATACAACTATATTGTCTCCTTCCTCTACCAATAACATGGCTTCCATCTTTCCTAGTGTCTTTCTCTGGTAAGGGATTGTTTCTGGGGAGCCTGTGAAGCCTTTTGACAAATGAACTTACACAACTCCTTTATGACTATAAGCAAACCATATTTCCCCCCAATTATTTCTGTCAGACAGCAGAAAAGAAGCCATGCTCAAAACACACCCCGGGACAAACACACTCCCTCGTTATCCAGAAACAGATGTGTAATTATTTAAAGTAATGACGTGTCGCAGAAGCAGTGTTTCTCCTCTGTTAAAGGGTGAAACCGCCTCAAATAAAATAAAGGCGACTTTGAGTTTACAGTAATGGTTCGTTAATCCTTTGCTAATGCACCTTCTATTTATTCATTTCCAGTTTGCTTTGCCGTGCATCACATCAAACAAATGTCCCCTGCAGGCTCCCATATCGACCCCTAAAAGCTGCCGTGAAACCCGAGAGCCGTTAAAGCTCGGCTGATCTGAAAACAGTGGAGATCAATGTGGATGTTCTCCATGCTTAAACATTTCCCATCATGCAATGTTTGCTCTGTCTGGTCAGAGCGTCCCCGGAGCTGCACGTTCAATAAATGAATATCAGAGACGCAGAACATGTACAGCCAGTTTCACTTAAGCTGAGATATTAACAGTTTAAACGAGAAATCTACTTTAAACAGTACTGTATATAATACCAATAAATACAATTTTATTATAATTATAAAAAATAACAGATAAATAAATTCAAATAAAGTAATAAAATGAACAGTTTTAGTTGGGATAGAATTGGATCGGCTTCTTTCCCCCCTAAATGTAACCGTTGTTACAAAAAATATACATTTTACAATAAGTAATAATAAGACAGTTTGATGAGGGAAAAGACCGAAATCTGAACATATTAGGCTCCGTTTCCCTCTGAAATATTACTGAATAAATTAAAAGAATGTCTTTGAGTGAGTGAAAAGGCAATGATAGCGTCTTTACCTGCTGAATTGTGTATAATTATGAGTAATTGCAGGTTGTCCAAAATGTTTAAAAAGGAAAGATACCCGACATCTTTTTTTTAATTTAGGAGAAATGATGAAAAAGGTCATGTAAATAGGCACTCAAATGTAGATTTGGGATGTTCTCCTTTCTAGTAGTCTGGAAGAAGACATTTGAGTGAATCAAAATAGCTCAAAATCCTAAGATTTAAATGTTTTGTCCATGGAAACAAGACATTGTGAGAATACTGTATATTAACAAGTGATTAATATATTTCCTTCTTGGCAGAGCAGACTAACTGCCTCAGTATATTTCCCATTTCGTACCTGCAGATTCTCATCATGTAAATGCATCTCTTGCTGATGAAAATACACAGGGGGAGGATGAGTGGAGGTGTATTTACCTTGCAAAGAAATCAAAATGAAGCCCACCCCCTTGATATCCTACAGAGACAATTTCCCTGTCCCTGCAGCTCTGTGAAATCTTCTCAAACGGGGGTTGTGCTTAAAGAAACCTTTATTAAATGTCAGTCCGCAGACTAATATGCATCTATTCGGGGGAGTTTCTGAAGTTCCAGGTAATGACTGCTCCTATGTGCTTTGTCTGCCTCAGTGACTAATCTTAGAGCTTCACTCTGAGCAACTGAACAAAAGCACTTCAGAAGTTTTTAGCTGCAGACTCCCAGATGCACTTGATAACAAATGAATGTCAGCGCTGCTGAAAAGTTTAAGTGCCTTCAGCGGTCAGAGGCAAACACGAGCACCAGAGAACATGTTTACTTTGTCAAAGGAGTGAACTCTGCACGTGCACCGCCACAATAAAAGACTTTGAACAAATAATTGATCCGTGACAAGCTGAAGTTGTACAGGCATTGGTTTCTGAGTACTTTTAGTGATTCAACATGACATCCATTGTAAAATGTTCCTATTGTAATGTTATATAACCACTCATTATTAAAGTAATACATATTCAACACTGGATCACTTGATATACTTTTAATATAAAACTAAACAATGAAACCCACCTAAAAATGGAACCGTCCATGATCTATTGAGCTTATAATGCCGCAGTTCCACTACAGCGCGGAGCTCGCTTTAAGCGTGCCGTGTCGTGCCGTACCCGTTTTTGGTTGCGCTTCCACTAGGCCTAGTTACGGCCCGGCCCGGCCCGGGGCCACTTTTTCACCTCTTTTCTGGCCCGACAAAATTGTGGTTCTATCGAGGCCAACAAACAGGGCTGAGTCGGGCTGAGTATGCTAAACTAGAGAGAGGAGCGCTGGCAAGAGGGCTAGAACTACAACAAGATGGACATATTTGACCGTGATTTAATTGTAATACACGTTTCAAAATGATGCCGAAGTAACAACATACTGATACCGGTTAGTAAAAACCATGAATTAATGCTTTGTCAAGTCTGCAGACAGACGGCAGGCGAAAAACCTTTTAAAATGCGTGTTTTTCTAGATGGAGATTGGCTAAGCTAACGCAGTATATGCTCCGACCGTCCACACTCACAACAACGGCCTATACAGACATAAATAAAGCAGCGACTGTATTCACCATGACACAGGCAGTCTGTGGTTTGTACTTGTTTAACTTTTGTCGAGTTTCTGAACATATATAAGGAGCTGTGAGCTCTGAGTGCTAACAGCTAACGGCTGTGTTGTGTTTTCTGGAGTTCTCATTGAAGATGACGTCACGGCTCCGCCTACACTGCGTTACTATAGTAACTACCCCAGTTCCTAAACTGTAATGGAAGCGCAGCATGAAGTGAGTCGGCCCTGTTAAGGCCCAACGCGGCCAAGCCGTACCGAGCCGTACCGAGTGTGGCCGAGGCCGACCGTGTAGTGGAAATGCGCCATTAGAAGCTCCTACGTCATGGGAAAAGTTTGCAGGTTCCCCGCATCAATAAAGAAAATATGCTTTGTTCCCTGTGACATACAGAGGTTTTTTTTTTAAGTGTTTAAACTTTAGTTTCGCTCTTTTGTTCATTTAGTGATAAGAACATGACACCCATTTTCATATTTTCCCATTGCAATGCTATGTAGTCTTTCATAATGTCTGCAGTTAAATGCATTTGGTCTGAATTTTGTGTTGAATAAAAGATAAGTACCCTAAATGTTTCTGTCAGAAAATAGATGAAAATGTCACGGCAGAATGTAAGGTCAGTTTGTTTTAAAAGCTGCATCTGATTATAGATGATGTAACATTGAGTCACACAGGAAAGGCTTCAATATGAAAGATACAAAATCTGATGTTAAATTTCACAAAGTTGAGGTGAAGTTTTTCACAGTTTTTCAGACGAGTAAAGTCACAGCATGTCAGCCTGTCGACTTGTTTGTCAAAGATTGTCCATCGTGGTGTATATTTGATTTTGGTGCATCAGAATGATTTGTTGTTCCATATCGATAAACTCTAGAAGTGTTTTCTTCCTGCAGACATGCATTAAAAGCTTCTGATACTTGTGTGCACTAGTACTTCCCTGTAATGAAGTCAGAGTGTTTTAATGTTCTCTGAAATGACTTGTGGTGTTGAATAAATGCTCGGGCAGAGATGGTTCCTGTAATGTCCATCCTGACAAAACAAACTGAGATTCATGAGAGTATTGATCTAAAAAAAACAAGAACAGGAAGGGTCATCTGAATGTATCTGAAACACAAGTGATTATTGAATTTTATTTATTTGTACAACTTTATTTTCAGGAAGTAAAAAAGTTCACATGAACGTCAAACTAAAGTGGATTTTTATTTATTTTCCAGGCAACTTCTACAAAGTGGAGGGAGCCAAGGATGCCTTAATCTGTGGGAACAGCAGCGACGCAGGGTGAGTGCATTTCATCTTTAGTTTTGAAAACACACAAAGGAGGAGGTGTGGGTGGGGCTGGTTGAAGGATGCTTGAGTGACAGATGTTGAAATGTGTCGCAGTTTTGAGCTGTTATGGTCTCCGGAGGTCAAACTTAAAGGACAATCAATAAGAAACGGGATTATTGTGAAAAGTAAGATGTTTTTGTGGTTGTTTCTTGACTCTTCTTGTTTATTGTAAAGAAGAATGAGAAAATGTTCCTACTTCTCACTCTATTTATTATGATCGGTTTATTGTCTCAATCTCCAGATTCAAGTCTTCTTTAATACAGCATGATGTTCAGTTATGTTGCTTTTTTTGTGTAAAATCGATGATAAAGTAGCGTATGTCTTTTCCTGGACGAAATGTGGCAAGAAATGTTGTCAATTGATTTATGTCTCCAATGGCATTATGCTGTATCCCTGGGTAACAAGAGAATCTCTTAGATATGAGAAACAACAAGAAACTTAAGGAGTGTTGTGGTTCACACAGGGTTGGTGTAATTGCATATTTGGACTTACCGGAGATTTAGCCGACTGGTAATATCATCCTGCTTCTGTTCTTACAATTTGACTCCTGAGTTACAGCCTCTGGTAGAGAACCGGGCACTCTACAGCACCTGAGAGCATGCGCCCATACTTTTTTGGCACTGGTATACATATGGAGTAAATATGGAAACAGATTGGGCTTTCTGTGAGGCAGAAACCAAATAAACAGCAGGTTCAGTCAATATTTTCCCTCAGAGGTAGAAGCCCTTCCTGTCTCTTCTCTAGTTTAAATGTGGTCATTTTCTAGTTTTGGTGAGCATCCCGCGGCTAAATGAATCTGAACGTATCTCATCGTCTGTTTGCATATCCCTGCCGCTACCATCGTCTGAGACGTTGTGTGACATGTCAGACAGCACTAGTATCTGTGCAGAGAGCTTGACAGACACTGACTGACAACAAATTGTGTGAGTGTTTGTGTATGTGTGTTTTTGTATGAGAACGAGACAGTCATCCAACGGAAATCTTTAGCAGGCGAACATGTTAGCCCGGGGCTAGCTAGCCATGCCATGTGAAACCTATCTACAGATGCTGACACTGACTCACACAGGAATGGCTTTTCAAAACAGAAGACACACATTCTGATGTTATATTTCACAAATAGGACGTGAGGTTTTGTCATATCAACTCCAATTAGTTTAAACATTAAAGTAGGACTGTCAAAGTTAAGGAGATAATTACAGGTTGACATCTTTTATATAAATGTAAACGAATATAACACAGTATATATATATATATATATATATGCATCAAAGCTGCCAAGACTTTTTTAAACAAAATAAATGAAAGCCTATTAATGGAACGCTGTTTTAAAAAAAAAGTATATTCAATTATATTGAAGTTGTATGATTTGATGTTGGTCGTGAGTTGTACTGTAGTCCTGAGAAGTAATGGGAATTTAGATTGTTATTGCTCGCTGATGCTGAAAATGGTGCTAAAGCAAGCGAGAAAGAAACACCTTTGCACATTTTTTACTTACTGTTAAGTTGTCATCTCCACAATTCCAATACAAACTGTCCTCAAACCGTGAATATCAAACCCATCTACAGAAGCTAACGGATAACTAGCATGCTAACGGATAAGTCTGCATGATGCAAACATGCTACAGGGAGAAGAGGAAGTTCAAAGGAGGTGAATCAGAAAGGAGGATGGGCAAAATATGAAGAAGAGATAAATGAAAAGAGGAGATGGACAGAGGAGTATAAGAAGAGACAGAAGGAAGAGAAGAGAAACAGAAGGAGAGCAAGAGGGAACAAGGAGAGGAGAGGAGAAATGGTAAATGAATACAAATGAAACCAAATGAAATAAGGTGAGAAGAGACAGACTGAAAATCTTACAGTCTCTGTGGAGAGATGTTTGGATAGAAAAAGAAGGCAAGGAAAGAAGACATTGAGCTACATGTAAAGGGTAATAAACTAAAGAAAACAGAAGAAAGTAAAAAGGAAAAAAATGATGGTTGAAAAAAGAGGGCGACAAGGGATAGAGGGGATACAAGCAGGTAATTAAAAAGTACAAGGTCATATTATTGAGGAATAAAAAGAGCTATAAATAAGAAGATTGGGGAGGAGGAGAAGATGAATTCAATGGGTATTCCCCACAAAAAACACATTTCATTTAGCTGACGTTTTTTTTCAAAGCGACTTGCAATCGGTGCAAAAAAGCATAAAGATACAAACTCGGAACAACAAGCCAAGCCATTGCTGTGCTGGTACATTAGTTTCACTAATGAGGGGGGGGGGGGGGGGGGGGGGGGGGGGGGGGGGTGGTTATGGGTTTTATTGCCAAGGTATAAGCTAAAACAAGTGGGTTTTCAGTTTTGAATGTAAGATGTTTAGACTTTCTGCTGTCCTGATGTCAATGGAGCTCATTTCACCGTTTGAGAGGAAGTATTGCAAACACGTGGTGGGCTAGTACCAGTGACTTGAAGCGCATTCGGGCAGCCATTGTCAGCCAGTGACGGGAGCAATGAGTGGTGTCGTGTGGGAGAACTTACGTAAGTTGAAAATCAGTTGAGCTGCTGCATTCTGAATCAGCTGCAGAGGTCTAATGGCACTTTAAGGTAGACCGACCAGGAAGGAGTTGCAGTAGTCAGGGCTTGAGATGGCCTTGTCCAGGACCTGCGTTGCAATCTGGGTCAGAACTGGACGCATCTTCCTGATGTTTCCACAGGATATCATATGTTATACTTTTATACTAAGTTAATGCAATACTTTTACTGCTAGTAGAGTATTTCACAGTGTTGTGTTAGTATCAGTTTGTCATGTTGTTTCTGGGATTTCTCTCCGTCTGCAGTAAGTCAAAGTGTGTCAAAAGTGTTGAAAGCGACAAGATAGCAGCTGAGAGAGAGAGAGCGAGAGAGGGAGAGAGAGGGAGAAGCTGCTGCAGGATGAGCGAGGAAGAGAGGGAGGAAGATGAGGCTGGATGACAGTGATGTTGATCACGGCGTTGTTTTCTTCCTGTGTTGAAGCTGCTCACGCCTCACGCATGATGCAGATTCCCAGGGCCGTAGGGCAAAGGTCACTGAGCTAACACACTCTGACACACACACTACCAGCAACAGCACACACACTGTCAGGCTTTTTATTAACATGATCTGTTTTGCGACCATTAAATCCATGGCAAGCATCGTCTCTCTTTTCATTTTTCTTTTTTTTTAAAAATGGAAACTTGTTAGACAGTTTATTATCTTGAATGCCTTTTAAAAAGGTTCCATATAGTGGCTGTAAATAGTCTTTGGAAAAAAGGGGGTTCATTGGATAAATGGATACAAATTGATAAAAATATGTTTTTTAATTAAGGATTCTGTTTGAAGCTAAATATTTAGTTTGATAAAAAATGTTGTGAATTCTGAAAATATTACATTTACCTTCTTATTTAACTGTTCACAAATACAATTTAAACACAAAAAATAGACACAATTCTTTTGTATATATCCAAGCTTTCGAATGTCAACTTTACCAATGAAGCTACAAACTTTTCTAAGTATAACTACATTTCTCTGGTAAAATGTCTGAATTGTCGTTCCAACACTGGACACTGTAAACCAGTAGGTGTGAGTTCTTCAGTTATTTTCTGTTTTGATTGAACTTCCTGTCTGCTGAAAGTTGATTTACGGAATCACAGCCTGGAGACGAAGCGGCAGAGAGCAGCACAATGACAGGCAGAACTTTATTTATCAGATAACAAAACTCTGCAGGTATTTCTGCTTTTTCTGCACCATGTTCTGGGCCGGGTTACTGAGCAAACAAGCATCTGCGATCAGAAAAACCAAGTGAGGGTGATGAGTGCATCTGCAGGGCTATAACTGATCATCTTCTGTGAAGTACTTAAACCACAGTGGGCTGTAATTAGGATGTTTAGCAATCTGTGCTTTATTTTCAAGGCCAAAATACATCTCGTCAAAGTCTGCATTTACAGGGATAAATAAAGCATTCATTTCTGAATCTTTTTATCAAAAGCAGTTTAATTGTATTGTGAATATTCCGCACATTGCATTAAAGATAGTCAAAATGTACTGCTGATATTGATTCAGGAACAAATTGAGTATTCGTTTTTTTTTTCTCCAAATTTGAAATGTAACATTTGTTCTAAATCTGTCTAATGTGTCACGCTGTATCACTTCCCTTCTGTAGTTGTCCACTTCCACCTTTTTTCAAATTTCCTCTGGCTGACAGTCAGAACGATAGTCTGCAGATAATCTGTGTCACTTCAGATCTCAAATGAAAGGAATTCACTGAATGATAGAAAACCTGCTGAGTGGAAACTCTCTGATTGAATATACTTCAGTCATTCTTCATTAATGCTTCTAATTAACTCTATCTTCAGACAGGATGACTTTAATATTCAGTGAATGTTTCTCTGTATGGAGGGATGGATGTGACCTATAAAATATGTGCGTGCACTGCAGAGCGCCATGTGACCCGTCAGTATTCTGCTGACATGCCTGCAACATGCCAACCACACGGCGAGGACATTGGCTGACAGCGGCCGACGGTGGCGTCGTTAGCGGAGGATAATTAGTGTCTGTCGTTAGGGGCTCTCGTTAAGCTCGTTGGCATGCAGCATGTGACCCGTGAGGTCACCGGGAGGAAGTTGTGTAGGGCTGACAGGAAGTGAAGCGAGGGTCCGGAGGGCAGGAGAGAGATCCTCCTGATTTATTTGGACAGCACCAGAGCTCAGTTTATTTATCATGACTCAACTCTCTTTTAGTCCTAGTTTGTAGCTGTCATTTAATCATTTTATTCATTTGCATTTCATTTTTGCATGATTGTGTTCCAGTCACTGAATTATCGCAGCCAACATTTCCCTGAAAAATAAACAGAAATACAAAAAAGCAGCACACCTGTTTTTGAAGACGAGTCCAAAAAACCCTGAAAGAGGTTTCTGTCCTGGAACAATCCCTCCTGTAAACAGTCCATTCTAAATCATTCCTAAAG